ATTCATATACCTATATTATTTTTATATATTCCGTGCTGTTACCTATAGAAATTTATGTATATATATCATAGAAAATTATACCCTATAAAAGACAATAAAAAGCACTTTTCTTTAATTTATCTACGAGATATTGCGGATTTAACATATACATATGTGTGGATGTATAACCCTAATACATATAAAAAATAAATATTATAAATGAAAAGTGGAAAATATAAATGATAAAAACATGTAATTTTCATTAAAGGTATACGTATATAGAAGATAAACACGACAATAACATTATAAATGTGTTCAAAAACACAAATTATTATTATAAAAATAATAAAAAATATAATATCATGTATGTATATGTACATATACATATTATATGTATATGTGATAAACAGCGCTAATAAAAATAATAAATGTGAATTGAATATAGAAACATATGATTTCATTTCTTTAAATATTTGTTTAGTAAATATACGTATATATGAGATAAAAAATTAAAAAAAACAACACATACATATGTACCTATAATGATTTAAGAGAATATATTACTCAACATCTGTCAGATATCTATGATATAGGGGTTATACAAGAATTACGTCAAAATATATTATATTTCGTGCAATAGGTGTTATTGAAAATGTGTCACAAATCTATTAGTCATAAAATATTTCTATGACAATTCGTCGTATGTTAATACATTTCACTCCTATCATATTTCAATCCTATCAAGAATATGTCCATTACACCACAAGACGAACCTATCAAGATAATTTTGCAGGCCAACAAAACACACGTGCCCTAAGATCTTCGTGTCGTCAGCAAAACTACTAACTCTAGAAGAAAGTGAACACAAAAAAGAGTCATAAGTTGCCACAATAAAAACAAAAATGACCCAAATTAATACCCTGGAGAACTTCAGAAATAGTCAAAAAAGTATCCGAAAAAGAAGAACGAAACAATACCTGGACCAGACAAGTAGGTTGAGACCCACAATAGCCTATAAGAAGAAAGCCCCCATGCTGCTCAATTTCAAAAGAATAACATCATGTGGGATTCTGACAAACGCTTTACTAATATCAGTAAAAATATATCGACCTGACGTAATTTACGAAACTCTATAGTTTCAGAAATAAATTCAACCAAGTTAGTTACAACAGACCACCCTCTCTGAAAACCATACTGATTAGGAAAAATAAATGGCACACAATTAAAATAAAAATAATCATATAAGATTTTCTCAATGAGTTTTGGAATATTAAACAACTTAGCGATGAACTTATAATTAAATTACTGATTAAATTACGTGGTCCTCAATTTGTTGTCTTAAACAGTACTATAGCAGACCAATGAGCTTCCACTTATTTCCGTAATTTATATATTCCGACAATGAAAATTTCGTTGCCACACCTATAAGCTTTGGAATAAAAAATCAAATTTTTTTCATTCATCTAAATGGACGCACATATGAACATAATGCAAATTTTTGCCTTATTTTTAAAATAATAAAGTTGAAGAACTTTGAGGGCAATTTTTCATTTCGAAATGTCATTGATTCTGTCAGATGTCATTTTATTTGTTTATATAATAGCAAAGAAAATTAAATTTTAGGTGTAATTCACTTCAGTAGAGTACAATGAATTTTTGAATTCTGCACTGGTAAATATCAAGTTAACTACTCGTAAATTGTACATCGTCGTATAAGCTAGCACTTAGTTTTGGAAAATTTATTATTTCTAATTTCTAAGAATTCGAAAATTTTCGTTTGCAATTAAATTGTATCCAAAAGAAGTTGTTTTAATTGATATTCTTTATTTAATTAACAGGTTCATACATTTGCATCGTCATGATATACCTTTATAAATCCATATTAAATATAATACTCATATACATATTATTCCCATAATTAATATTATCAATGTAATTTAATTGCAAACTTTAACGAGGTCAATGTATATATGAATCATGTTAAAATTTTTAAAGCAATGTAAATACTAAAAACATAAAACAAGTTTTATTTAAAGACATTACTAAAAATATTTTTGCTTATTCATTTGGGAAACTACGTAATTAGACTAATTTTTTATATTTATATATATATATATGTACATTAACAGCATTAAAATTCCAATACAATTCATACATGTAGAAAATAATTATTAATTGATGGGTCACGTGATTTAAAATTAAATTAAATTATATACTTTGATTTCTCAATTAATAGTTGAGTAAACAAATACAATTTTCTCATATTATTGAGTCAAAACAAATATTCTCATTTCAATTGGTGAAAATCATAAAATGTTATATGAAACAATCATACCAGACAGTTGCAAACCAAATCTTAGTTCTTAGCAATGAGAGAAACAATTACTGTGTTCTCATATTTTGAAATTCTCAACACAATATTCGATCAGAATCCATTTATATTGTAATTTACAAAGAACTTTTTATAATTTTTTACAATCTTTAGCTAAGCCAAAAACTAATACATGTTTATTATTAATGTATTTGGAATATATTCACATACGTGTGCGAGTAAAGAGCAATATAATCATATTTTACACACACATTCTTAAATAACTTTCAGAAAACTTAAGAGAAAAACTTTTTTTGCTTCTTATCTTAAGTTTTCATTTTCACTCTTCAATTTGCAATATTAGTAATTGCCATTATTTTTATTGTTATTTTAAAATTGATTTTTGAAATTCTTATGAGATTTTTACTTTTGTTACATTTCTTCCATAATTTCTCTTTATTCATAGAGAAAAATATTATGGTACATCAGGAAATTATATAATTTTATGACTATCTGAAATTGATGTCTCGAGATAAATTGTTTTGAATTGTTATGTCATCTACAATGTAGATGATCTATACATAGTTTACATAAATATATATATGTATAAATAATATTTATTTAAAAAAAATACTGCGTACACATATTTTCAAATTAAAATCTATTTTTAAAAAATTGCATACTTTTATTTTAAAATTAGCACAAAACAGCTATTGTTAAAATTAAATTAAAAAAAAAAAAAAACAAAAAATAACTATACCTTATTAATTCTCTCGCCTATATTCATTTAAAAATTATTTCACATTTCCGTTCATTGTTTTCTTAATTTATTAATTAGACTTACTGTTTTGTTAGTTAGCGGTATGTAATAAAACAAAACCAGTTGAATATTTCAGTAGAAAAATTTTTAATTTTTCTTGTTTTTTCTAGTTTTCTTAATGATAAGGTAAATTAAAATACATTTGAATTATTTGATTTAATATTAAACAAAAATTTATTAAAAATTTAGGAAATTAAATATGAAATTTAATTTTGATCTTTAAAATACTATCTATTTAATATTATTTAGTTTCATTTATTTACTTTAGTGTAGCTACTATAAAAGTAATTGCAATATCATTCTAATTTCAGTAAAATATTGTTTTCACTTTCAATAAACACAATAATTAATTTAGCATCAATAGTTAAAGAATACTGTTAAGAATTTAAAATTTTGATTGCATATTTTTAGGATTTTATATATGATTGCATGTTTTTAGGATTTTACATATGATTGCATATTTTTAGGATTTTACATTGGGATTGCATATTTTCGGAATTTCATTTTTATAATTTTGATAAATTTTTTTTTTACTTTTTTTTGCAGTTTTATTCATAAGGATAAAAGTAACAAAGAGTTTCCGTTATGAATTCTATTATTAAACGAATTCCTAACTTGAGAACTGAATTTGAATAGAACCGCTTGGCTATATATTTTTGTTTCAATTTTTTTAATATTCGGTTTTCACTTAAATTTTTATTTATACGAGTAGCTTTATAACTTTGACCAATAGAAATGTGTAGTACAAAATATTTGAAGGTTGATTATACGTGATTGTGATATTGAAACTTAAAACAGACAGACAAGCCAATTATTTTGTGTTTACATTATTCATGTGAAAACAAATGTTTACTGGAACTCGAACGCAATTGCAACTACTGTTATAATGCCCTACAGCTATGAAATATTTAATTATCAGACGAACTGTAAAACAAGTTTAGATCTGAATTATTAGGAAAGACTTCAATTATAAAAAAAATAACTGCTTTTAATTTTAATGCTGTGCTAATTTTATTAAATATTTTAATTGGTTGATTATTATAATGAAATTGAAATATTTGTGAAAAACTCCTAGATTCAATTATAAATAATAATTATTCTATTTTGTATCTCCTCTATAAATGGGAAACTTTATGATTTCATCTAACACTATTTTGATTGAACCCAAATAGGTTTGGATACTATAATTTAAAAAAGACTTAATTATGTTTAGTTAAAATATTTGATATACACACAAAGAAAAATATATGGTTATAATTAAAATAATTTTTCAGCTTGAAATTTGCTTCTATACAAAAGAATTCTAAAATTGGATACCTAATTTTGGATTGATCTTCAAAAAAAAAAAAAAAAAAACAGAAAAACAATCTTATAAAATACTAGCATAAAATATTTATATATAAATATGAAAAATTACAATGTACACTCACACAAATCGGCATATAGATAACAATAAAAAATTGTATATACGAACGATATATGTACATATAAATATATTTAGTAAAACTAACATAAAATCTTCGTAGGAGTCGAAAGAAAAGAGAAGTTCAAGGTAAGCTTTATGCATAGTTTTAATAAAATACGTACACACAATAGTTCAAAGAATAGCAATAAATTAGAAACGTGCAAGATTTTTTTTTTATTTTTCGTTCCACTATTTTTTGTTCTTCTTTATAAAAAAAAATAGAAAAAAAAAATATTGTGTAATAGTAAAGGTGTGTGCTTCGCTATATTTATGTATGAAATTCGAGCAATTGAATTTACGATATTTAAATAAGAAAATAAAACAAAAAAATATTAAAGCTCAAATAATATTAACAATAAAACAAATTATTAGTAAAATAAAGTAAAAAAATATGAAAGAAAATAAAATAAAATAATAAAACATACCCATGCTTTAACATATGATTTGCCATTGATTTGGATGACGACAAATTAAGTAAAGATTTCGCAGACAGTCTAAAAATAAAATTTAATACGAAAATGATAATTTAAAATGAAAATGAAAATCTAAATTAGGAATACAAAATTTTAAAACAAAAATTAAATAAAAAAATATTTTATAGTTTAAAACACATTCAAATTAAAAATTAAATTAAAAAATTATTATAAAATTTTTTTTTTCATGCAAATGATTGATTCGCGACTAACATACTTGTGATTTGTTGACATTATGCTTATTAAATTCATAAAAAATCATAGTAATTTTTAAATAAATTCTCAAATTTCAATATTTTCTTAATTATTCAAGAATAAATTATTATTTAATTAATTTAAAATTTCAAAACACTTGATTATTTCAATTAAAACACGCAATTTATTAAAAACACTCTTTTAATTTTCACCATTTTTTTAATAAATTTTTATAAAATTTAAAATTAAATTTTTTTCTTAAGTTTGAATGTATTTTTCACATTATAAAAAACATTTTGGGAATTTATTGAATATTTCTTCTAACAAATTCTAACAGTTGCTCACTAAATATGAACTGTAAATGAAATTTTTCTAAAACTACAAAACTAATTAAAAAAAAAAACTAATTTTAAAAATTAATGAAAATTAACGAACCATAACAATACAATAAAAAAAAATTCACAACACTTTTTTTTACGCGCAACTTTTTTTTACTCTGTTTTTTTTTATAATTAAATTTTTAATTTTCGTTTTTTTTCCTCAAAATAATTATTTTAAATTTTTATATTGAACAACAGTAAAAATCAAATGAAAAATACTTAATAAAACTTTGAAAAATATTTGAAATAAAAAAATAGAAAAAAAAAATTTATTTTTACATCATTTTCTTTTATTTTAACTAACTCACCTTCCTTGCAATGATGAACCACCAATAGTAGATACTACACCAACACCACTACCATTAGCAACACCGGCGCCAACACCACCATTCTGAAAATCACCTGTACTACTCCATCGTTTACCTAAACCAACATGGTGATTTACTGTATTTGGTCGTGGTGAAGGTGATGGAGCTGGCGACACACTACTACTACTATGTGAATCTGAATGTAGTGAACCATTCGATTGATGATGTAGTTTATTATTTCGATTATGTGGTTGTTGATGATGATTTGTATTATAATTATTATTGTTATTATTGTAATTTTGTTGTGTTGTTGTTCCGTGTGTCGCCGATGAAACAACAGTTTGATGACGACGTACTGCTGATGATTCAGTTTGATGATGATAATTTGGTGTTGAACGTGGTAAAGGTTTTCTTAATTTCCATTCATTACTTGATGCTGTTGATGATGAGCTATTATTTGTTGGACTCGGAGAAGTCACTAAGAAGATAAAAATAAAATTAATTAAAATTTTAAGTTGGATTGAAGAATATTAATTAATTATATTATAATTAAAAAAATAAAAACACTTACGTCTATTAAAACTTGGCACTGGTGCACTTCGTGCTGGTGTTGATGGAGCACTACGACCACCTCTATATGTACTATGATGATCTGTTTGTGAATTATAGTGATGTGATGTTGTTGAATTTGTATTACGTTCAATATTTCCTTCAATTAAATTTAAACGTCTTAAAACATCAGCAAGTGTTGAACGAAGACATACAATTTCATCTTGTTGTGTCAGTACTCTACGTTCAAGATCATGTACGCGTCCAGCTAAACTAGATTTTTCTGACTCCAACATTTCGTCTGTAAAATAGATTGGAAGTATATGAGTAAAACAAAAATGAAACATTTAAGAAAAATTTTATTTTTCATAAGTAAATAAAATAATCATAAGAAGCACATTATTTTTTAAATAAAGGTGTAAGCATTAAACGTTACAACAATACACAGGGGGGAAAGAACTGGTGCTAAAAACACAAGGATTTAATCAAAATCATGTTTTATGATAAAAATTCGTGTTCTTGTTGTGTTCTTTAATAATTTTTTTACATTTTTTTTTATATTGCATTTTGAAATTTTAAAATAGGGTACAATAAAAACTAAAACTGGTTTTTTGTTCAAAAGTATAAAACTTAAAACAATAAGAATAGAAAAATGTTATATAGAAAATCTACAAATCTGGCCCAAAAAAATTAATTTTTACTAAAAATTTAAAAAACACGCTACAGATGGAAAGTAATTTAAAATTTTTATGTTAAAGTTTAATATAAAATTTAAAATTTTAATTACAATAAGTAAAAATTACAGAGTTTTCTAAGAGGATAAATTGCAGTTTAATTTAGAACCTCATAATGCGACTTATTCGAATTTAGATTCTTATTCTTTTCGTACAATCTAGTTTTAGATGTCAAAAAACTTTGAAATTTCAAATGCTTTGAGTGTAAATAATAAAGAATAGGAAATGTAAATGTTAGAATTTACCCATTTTTCTATACAATATACTAGAGTTGGTTCACGTTTTTGAATTGCATTAAACAATGATTTTTTGAATATGTTTTAAGACAACTTCAAATTCTGTCTCCATATGACCATCCTTCAAAAATTCTCTTTTTTAAATACATATTTGTCATTTTACGGGATTCTAAGAGCATATCTCTAATGTATAAAGCATGTTAAAATTAGAATGAATAAAAAAAATCTCTTTATTTACTAACCCTTCAAATAGCACTTCCTGTTATTGCATATTAAAAAATAAATAATTTTATCTTTTTCAGTTGCAATTTTATAATTTCCACTAACTATAAAATTATTTTTCTTAGTTCTTTCTGACAAACAACTAAAACATATTAAAAAAAATCACAAAATTTTCTGTAGGCTGCTTCAAGAGACAAGGTAGGCAAATTATTCTATTTATAAAAAAATTTCCATTTTAAAATTCCAAATTTGACAATTATTAAGACTTTAATTGCTTGATTTTAAATTTTTAATAACATACACATATAATCAATTTATTATAGTTTTATTGTAATAATTGTCTGATTTTTTTCGAAATGCCAATTTATTATTTTTCGAATCATATACTGTTTTGGTTTTAAAACTTATACTATTAAGGTCAAATTGAAAAGTCTAAAAACTATTGAATTAAAATTAAATTGTTTATGTGTTTAAACTACTGTAGTTTGTATAACATTAGCAAATTGGCAATCAATAATAAAAACATTAAATAAACCAATTTTAAAATTATTTGATCACATCTAAAATTGTTCAATTTGACAAATATTCAATTGCTGCCATTATTGCCATCTTCGTCGCTTACCAAACTTTTAAAAAAATACTTATTTATTTTTATTTTTATAAATCATAGATTACCCAAATATTTTTACCTATTACCTTATTGGCATGATAGTTTCAGATATATTTGTCTTTTTTACTCACATACAATTACTTTTAATACAAGGTCAAATTAAAAAGAAAAATTTAATTGTAGGTGTTCATATATTATAATTTTTGTGAGTGCGTTTATTATCTGCACATATTTATATATACAAACAGTGTCATGATTAACAATATACAACATGTACGAACATGTGCAGTTATATAATATTATTATTTAACTCCAATTATAATATTTAATTGGCCTGGAGGCTTTAAACTTGACAACAATAATGATTTTTTTTTTCTTCTTTCTCTCTTTCCCAATTTTTAATATGATAAAATTCACCTTTTAAAAACTAGTCAAGCAGTTTGATGTCAAATTAGTGATAAACAAAGTGTTGATCATAAATCCGAATTTGTATTTTTCAATAACATTTTGTCTTTTATTACTGCATAAAAATTTTTGTAATTTTTTTTATTGTTGTTTAGAGTCAGTGGCAGCAGCAGCAGCAGCAGTTAAATTGCTGTTGTTATATAGTTGTGTAGCTGTCATTCTTTAAAATTTTTTGATTGACAAATATGATTTAATTTATTTGCTTTTAATAAACAATTTGAAAATTGTTTACCAAAATGTAAGAAGAAACCAAAACAACAAAAAGTTTCAAAATTATGAAAAGAAAAAAATTTAAGAAAAAAAAAAAACAATAATAATAATTTTTGCTTTTTTTTTTCTTGAACTTCAAATTTTTATAATAGGATTACAAAAATGTTAACATAATAAGATGGCAGGTTAACCTTGTTGAAAATATTTTACGAAAAATTAAATTCGTTTTCTTTCTGACAATGTGCTGATATCGGAACGTTATTGTTGCAGTGAAAAAATAAGGAAGTCTAAATATTTTAATATCTACCTTAAAAGTATTATAAAATTTTGTATTTGATGAATTCTGTTTTTTATTTTTATGCAAGTGTGCGTCTTGTTATTTATGAAGATTAATTTTTATATTGATAATACGAAAATAAAAGAAAAGTCATTTTGACTTTTTGAATGCCATGAAAATCAATTCATTTTGTTACTTTATGTACTTAATTTAACACTTATGGTTGAGAATTTATAATTTGATTATTAAGATAAATTACTTCATTTCACAAGTCGATTTGAAGGTTTATTTAGTTAATTAATAATTACAACTCGTGCTTTGTATAAAAAAAATAAAAAAGGTTTCCCTAGAAATTTCTCGGTTAAAAAGCAGAAAAATTCTTTTTGTAATTTTAAAATTACCCCTACGGTATCTTTTTTATTTTTGAATATATTCGCAATGAAGATAGACGCTCTTTTAAATATTTTTTCATTTTATTTCTATGATTTTTAAAATTTCGTTGGATTTATCGAGATTTTGGCATTTTTTTTTCAAATTTAGCTCATACAATTTTTGTATTAGTGGCAACCCTGCTGTCACAAGTTATTTTATTGACATTAATTAAAGCATCTGTTGGCTTTCATCTCGATTATTTTTATAAAAATTATCCAGAATTTTAATATTTTTAATTATATATGCAAATCATTAATTTTGAGCATAAATTTTGAAAATAAATTTTTGACAACACACATTTTTTGCCCAGAATTTCAATAGAATCCGATTTAAGGTAACTACTAAAATCTAATTATAAGGAAAATTTTTAATTAAATGGTATAGAGGTATAAAAGTTAAGAGATAATAATTTCATCATAATATATTGCAATACAAGTAACAATAAAGATTAAATACTAAAATTTAAGATTATTTTGGTAAGTAATAATCAACAACGATACTACATAAAAACTTACTTGACTTCAGAATTGTTATTATTTTTTTGGTTTTTTAAAGAATATTATACCTAGATATAAAAAAAATCTACACGCACATTTAAAACATGAGAGAAAAACATCAAAATTACACCAACCAAAAAAAAAAATTTACTGACTACACCAAAAAAGTTAAAAAAAAAAAAAAAAACAAAAGTACATTTGAACACGCAAGAAAAACACAAAGCAATTTTAAAAAATAAAATCGAAAACAACCAAAAAGAGAGAAAAAAAGAACACAAATAAAATTTCCTAAAAAAAAAAACTTACTCCAAGCGTTATAAACGCCAGCCATTGTATCGTCATCGTTCGATATATCGGCGTGATTTTGATCCATCATGATAGAATTGATTTGAATTGAAGAAGGGATTGTTGTTGAAATTTATTGATATCACGATTAATTTTGACAATTATTAAAACTTTAATGCAAGATTTTGGAATCATCACAGAAAACTTCCTATAAAAAATTTTTGAATTTTTTTTTTTTTTTTTGTATAACATAAAAAGCATAATATAGAAAAAGGAAATTGATGTAAAAATTTAAGAAAAAAATTTTATTTTCATCTTATGTAATTTTTATAGTATTTTCATATAATATGAAATATGTAGAAATTAGAAGAAATTAAAATATCAAAGGCAAATAATTAAAAACCGGAAAATGGACAATAAAACAAAATTATTTCAATAAATTTCGTAAAAATTTTTTCTTATCTTCTTAAAATGTATTGAGTAGTTTATACAGTTTGGTGTTTTTAATCGAGTGTAAAAAATGTGAGTGAAAATTATTGTTTTTGATGAGTTAAACATTGTTGTTATTGTTTCTGAATTTCGTTTCTCTCTTTGGTGGAAATTATGAAAATTTTTTATGTATTAAGCATGTTTTGTTTTTATTGTTGCTTTTTGTTTCTTTTGTTTTTCTTTCTATTTAAAGCTAAGCTCAATTCATGTGTGAATTTGCTCTAAGACGATTTTATTGGCTGCCTGTATTTAAAAGCGGTTATAATTTTTTGGTAATATTTTTTCGAGAAAAAATAAATTGTAATAATAGTTATGCATTTTTTATATTTAGGCTGAATTTAAAGCTTTAATGTTTAGGTATATATTGTTTTGTAATGTGTAAGTAACAAAATAAAAATTAAAAAAAAAAATAATATAACATTAAAAATTATAAAATGAACTCAGAACTAAATTTTATATTTAACAAAAATTAAAATTCTAATATTAAATAGAAATAAAACTCTAATAGTAAGTAATAAATTTGTCAGAGAAAAATGGTCATTTAAGAATTCATTAAATAAATATAATCTGGCTAGCAAATAGTTCCGTTTTTTTAGGTTCAAAATTATTTTTCACAATATTTGTCTATGTATCTCGATTTTACGTTTAAAGGAGACCGAGATCTGCAGTCTTATATCAAAGTGCAATAGATTCATGGCTTATGCAAAAGTATAATTTAGTATATTTTACGCAAATCGGAAACAAATTTTTTCATAATTAATGAGATGAATAATTATTTTATTCATCTCATTAGTTTTCATAAATAATGAGATCGTAGTTATAATAGAAATTCAGTGTTTTACAA